GGGACCGATCATCGCTCGCTCACCCGTTGATTTGATAAGGGAAAATCCTGAGGAGTCTCTCTATCTGTTCTCTAACCGTCCTTCGTTGCTTTTTACACGCTTTACCCTTTCTATCTGCTTGATTGCGATGTCGCACCGGCGAGAAATTTTCAACGATCGAAAGTTGTATCGAACCAGAGCTGCTTTTTAACTAACTACGTAAAAATCTAATAGAAATGTTTTTTTTTTTTAATTATTGATGGAATTGAAGTCGAATTTTTTTTTTATCGAAAAAGCACGCTTGTTGATTAATTATTCCTCAATTTCTATTGAAAAGTGCTAATTATTATAGGAGGTTTGTTAAGTTTACTGTACAGAAAAATTTGAAAGTTTCAAAGAAAGTTAATGTTAATATATGAAGAAGGGAAAATGGATTTCCATGATACCTAATTAAGTATAGTTAGAGGAACATATCTAATGTCCAGAAGTTTCCAGCCTAACTCTGATTTTACTAAGCATTATGTTGTTTAGAATTATACAAATATATTATGATTGAAAAAGAAAGGAGAGTCGTGATTCTATTTACCGGTTGAAACAAGAAACATGTAAAAGCTGGGTCACCAGTGACCCGCTAAGAGGAAGACTAAATCCACTGAAGAAAGCCAGAAACTTTAGGCGTAACCAAGTAGTATGACACACTAGCAATAAAAACACGAAAGTGACTATTACACCTACATTATAAATCCCTCATAACTCTAATACCTTCTTCCATTCCACCGTACACATAAGCTCTTTGTGTCAAAAAAGATCCAAAGACCTTCTGTACCAATTTTTGTCGCCAGTCACCATTTGAGCGTAACGTAAAGGGAACATAAACTTGTTAACAACAAGAGCTACCAAAAGAACAAGAGAGACGATGGGTCGAAAAAGACCCAAAGACGGCACTATGCTTGAAAGTAATTCGTTTAACGCGATCCGTAATTCAATTCAAATCAGCTGTTTCAACATACATCGCACCTTCTTCCCCTTTTTACTCGAAGACACGTCGAAATGAAAACGGCAGCCGGTAGAGCAGAAACGTTCGATCCGCGAAATAGCCCTGAAAAGTCAATTGAATCGTCGAAGAATCGCGCGGCGCTGGTCCCACGGGCCACTTTATAGCCGGTACGTGGATGCTCGCTGGCCGACTGAAATATCGGTCGTAAATAATAAAAGTTGGCGAGGTTCCTCCCTAGCGCGCACGGTGGGACTTTAAACCGGAAGATAGGTGTCGCAGGATACGGACGAGGCAACGTAGAGAAGGGGGGCAGCGAGATGAGGTGGGCGAAAGAGGCAGCGGGGCAGCGCGAGGGTGTGGGGCGGAGACAAAGACGCGCTATTGTCAACCGCTCCGCCATCGGAACCACCATCCGCCGCGGGAAACTTTGAATCATTTTTATTGCATAGAGTTATCTTTGTTACCAACGGAACGAACGTCTAAACGCGTCCTCTCTGTCCCTTTCGCTTCTCTTTCTCCCTCCGATCTTCCTTCCAACCATCCTCCACCTCCCTTTCCCTCATCTCTGCTCACACCTCCGCCCTCCTCCCTCAGTTCGTACAGGTTATTCCCTCCCGTCGTTGGTCCTCCTCTCCTCGCCTCTTTCTGCCTCCCTCTACCTGCACACCCTTTTTGTTCTTCTCGCTCGACGCGAGATAATACGAACGAGGAAACGTTCACACCCCTTTGACTGCCCAAATGGAATAAGTTCTTTAATTCACGAATTTACCGCCGCTCTAACGAATTGCCCGTCCTTCACGTCGAGATAACAAGCCTTACTCTCTAGCCTCAGCTTCAACTTTTAATTCTTTCCTGTACTCTGCGATCGCGTAGTTTCATCGTCATCTTCGCACACTGGGAATTATCGAATTCGTGTCTTGAGGTCTTTGTTTTTCTGTTTCTCCTTGGAAGGAAAACTGAAAGCGGCCATTCTTTCTCTGGATTTATGGTAATTCTGAAGGGACGTTGCTGCGTCGTCGTCGTTGTCTCTCGCATCATATAAATAGAATCCTCTCGACGATAATTAAAAAGCAATTTTACGGTGACATTCGTACCTGGAACAACCGCCTCTTCCTTGCCAGAGATAAATATTCGGACACGTGCCCGTATACCCTGTGATAATAAGTACATACAAGGCTGGAGCGGTTGCAAAAGGATGTGAAAAAAGTTACGATTTAATCAGATTATTCTACGTTTGCAACGCGTGTCCTGTTCTTACGGGGGAACGTCCCCAAGTGATGAGCATCGATATTGTGGAAATTTTGGCATTCGTATGGTAGCACTGAAAGAAATATTCGACACGTATTTTTTTTTTTTTTTATAAGCAGTCGTCCACATTGAAAGGGTGAAGATCAACCTCAACGATGAGGATAATAAATCATATTCAGTCAAAATTATTTATCTTTTATTTCCCAGATTTGTCATTGAAAGATAAGAAACTCGTCAATTTACAGTATTCCTCTATAATAGCTTTCGAGATACTACACTAAATATATGCACTACCTCCCTAACTTTGAGGGCAATTTCCCCCCTTCACTGTGAAAGAAATATTGTTTCATCGAAATCAGTGATGATCCTACAAACCTACGATTGCATCTGTTACATATCTAAAGAATTTCCGAATCGTATTCCCGAGCAATTAGTTATTGACACACACGGATAATGCACAATATTTAACGATAGCATACGTGGTTACGAAAAAAGAGTAAGCCAAGGGGTTAACGAGAAAACCTTGAAAGGAGATCTCTAGATGAAACACATATTTGTTTTACACCCTGTACGATAATCGGAGGGTAAGCAAACGTAGGGGGTGGAGGGTCGTTTCGTCAGTTGCTGGGCACAGGTTAGGTGGACAACGCAGGTATTACGCGGAGCAATAAAATTCACGAGAAGTGTTTTACATTGGTAGCGTGGGGGCCATGTGTGCCAGGGTGAGAGGGAGCCTCGACGAATTCAGTAAGTGGCGGACAATGGCTTTTGTGGTAGACATGGACCAACTCATACCTCTTCTCTCCTCCCTTACCGCCTCCCTGACATGCGTATTTCGTTCTACCACCGGCACGGATACATTTTCTCCCCTGTAACGCTTTCTTTCCTTCTTCGTGCTGCACGCGAGAAAGAGCAACTGAACTTTCAAAAGGAGCCTCTATGAATCTTTCTTGTTTGCTCGTGAAGCACAGTGTTGTTGATACAAATTATATAGTGGAGGAAATTAGGTGAACTTGTTTATTGCCATTTTACTCTGGAGGAAGGAAATGC